ATATTGTTCATTTTGTTAAGCACAAGTGCAGTACTTACACTTTTCCTAATCCACGTCGCAGTTCGTGCTTGTATTGCTAACGATGTAAATAACGGTTGGCTGATGACTTTGTACGACGACCATTATTGCTCTGCCGACGACGACATTGTCAAGAATTTAAAACCATCCAATGTGATTGACACCGGAAGCTGTGGAGTTTCGTACAAGGTGAAAACTCCAAAAGGCCAAATTTTAGCAGTTAAAAAGACGTTGCCATCAACAGATTCTGAAGCACTTATATCGGAAATTGATATGCTATGTTCAATCAAACACAAGAATATCACCAGGCTTCTTGGTTGGGGATCGAATTTTCTGAGTACTAAGAATATGATGGTGCAGTTTTATGAATACCTCCCTAGTTTGAGCTCAGTGCTTCATGGTTCAGAAAAGGGAAAGTTAGATTGGGATACCAGATATGAAATCATCTTAGGTTTGGCTCAAGCACTTTCATATTTGCACCATGATTGTGTGCCTTCTATGTTGCATGCAGATGTCAAAGCAACAAATGTGTTATTAGGCCCTGGATATCATCCATACCTTACTTGCTTTGGCCTAGTAAAAATCGCAAGTGAAAAAGTCGACGATGCTAAATCCAATCCAGTTCAAAGACCTGCCCACACAGGCAGCTCCCGCGGATACATAGATCCTGGTAATTTATCTATCTATCTATTTACGTTTTAGTCTCTTTATCTATCTATCTATTTACACATGAGTAGTACTTGTTTTTTATTGTTTTGGAATGTGTACAGAGCTCAACTCAACACAGAAGATCAATGAGAAAATCGACGTGTACAGTTTCGGCGTGGTGATACTCGAGATACTGACAGGAAGGCATCCATTAGATCCAACTCTGCCAGAAGGTATACACTTGGTTCAATGGGCTAAGAATCACTTGGCTAGCAAAAAAGATCCATTTGAAATTCTTGACTCGAAGCTGAGAGGAAGGACTAAACCTACTACTATGCATGAAATACTCCAAACTCTGGCTGTGTCGATTTTATGTGTAAATACGAAAGCTCATGAACGGCCAACAATGAAGGATACTCTCGCAATGCTCAATCAATTTCGATATTTTGTTTAAAATGTATTGAAAAGAGTTTCAGTAGTGCATGTTAAGAGTATAGTTTCTAGGCCAGTTAGAGCAGGCCAGAGTTATTTCAAATATAAATTTAGATGTAAAATGCAAATTTCAAATATCCATAATAAAATGCAAATTTCTCTCTCTCTCTCTCTCTCTCTCTCACATATACAGCCTATGAATTCAAACAATGACCACATGGTCCCAACCCACGTTTGATACCTCACTTTCACATACTACATGTGAAAGAGATTTGTCAGCGATTGGAAAATCCTTCAGAAGCACAAATACTAAGTTGGGATTGAAAGTTAGCATAACAATAATCCCCAATAATCATATCCACATGCAGGACCACTAATATAGTGGAATGAAGATAAACATGTATAAGGAATACATGGTCATGCAGCATATGCAAAAATGGTCAATGGGTTTTGGCATCAAATACAAGGTTCACAATATTTCTGCACTGATAAAAAAACTAGTAATAGCTTTGCTTGATCAAAATTGCGATGAAAAAATACTCCAATTCACAGCTTCATTATTTTTCACATTTGTATCTGGGACATTGGCACCGTAATACGGTTTTCTACCAAAAATTGGCACCGTAATACAGTTTTCTACCAAAAATCCAATATTATAGAATCTAAAATGTAAAATTTACTCATAATATGAGACGTAGGGAGTATTGCATTTGTTAAGAGTCCAGGAAATATTTGAATATCATCAATATATAGTAGTTGATTCAATTATTCTCATCAAGTACTCTCCTTCTTATTCAACAATTATAATTATACTTTGTTTGAATTGATGAAACATGATAGAATAGTGGTATGAAATAGACTAGAATAAAATGCCATTGCTTGGATGAATTGAAATCAGGTGCAGAATGGATTTTGGATAACTTCCGAATAGTATCTATCCATTCTATTTCATTGCTTCCCACCATTTTTCTTTATCTATAATTTAGAGGGAATGATGTAATTTTGCTTAGTTCCAATCCTAAATCAACCAAACAATAAAATAAGATCTCTTAACTAGAATTTGCTTAGTTAGAGATCTCTGTTCTATTCAACTTTATTTGAAAACATATCCTTAGAGTCCTTGACACCAAATGGCCTCTAGATTACATCTCCCTAAATCTCAAGTCTAATCACTACTAAAGGCGCCTTAAAAATCTCAAGTCAAATGTCTTATTAGGGTGCCTAAACCATAAACAAAAGACTAGTCATGATTTATGGTTCATGATTTTGAAGCTTCTACCAATATCAACTTTCTATTCGATTATTTGTACTAATTCATTTCATTACATAACCCTAATTTCAGTAGGGTAACAGAAACATAAACAACTTATCCTAATTTCCAATCTTATTGACCAACAAGTTGATAATCATAACTCTCTTTTTGCAAGTTTATAATAGCCTATCTACCATCATTGCCCACATTCTAAAATTACACAAGTTAGTTTCAACCCTCAATTTCTTATCCCAACATTGACAATTGAACAATAGGATAATGCAGAAACAATAACATGAAAATAGCCAAACAAACAAAACACTAGCAATGAGAATGTAAAACACATAATTTCATTCCACTAAATAAAAAACAACTTAACAGCCACAAAATACGCAATTGTTCCATTCAAAACCAATAACAAAATCAAAACTAGTTATAACAATAACGATAACAACAAAATAACAAAACCCTAATCAATGGTTTGCATGATATCTTCAGGAGCAAACTTAGTCCCCTTCTCCTTATCCGCCGCAGCGCGCCCCTTGGCCTTCCTATCAATCAAACTCTTCCGATCCTTATCCAAACGGAGTTTCGTGATAACCACCTTAGAAGGATCCAACCCAACGTTAACAGTTGAACCGTTAACTTTCTCACGAGTTATGCGCTCGATGTGAATCACCCACTTTTTGCGATAAACCTGAACAATCTTTCCTTCACGGCCTTTGAATGTTCCTCTAACCACCTGAACTTCATCGTCCTTGCGAACCGGTAAGGAGCGGACGTTGTATTTGGATCGAAGGTCGCCGGAGAGTGGAGCACTCATTAGGACACGGCGGACGCTTGATGGGGCGGTGAAGTGGGCCTTGCGGCTCTTGCGGCGGCTGCTGGAAACCCTTGGATTGAACTTCATCTTCTCCTCTTTCTCTCTCTCACACACACTCTCCCTCTCTCTCTCTGTGAATGAAGGATTAGGTTTAGGGTTTCAGTTTTCTTACACTTGTTTTGTGATAGTAGTGAATAATCGATTATGGGCCAATTTATTGGGCCTTTTGGGCCCAACTTGGATTCAATTATCCGAGCCCAACTTAAGTATTTTGGATGGTAGTTTTTTGAAAAATGATTTAACTAATTGAAAATTCAGATTTACCTTAAATTTTAAATATAAGATTTTTAATTAATTGGTAGTTTAACTTTTTTTACATTAATAGTAAATTCTTTGAAATGGATTTAAAAACCAAAATATGTTGTAGAATGGCCATGAAAGATTGGTTCAACTTTCATTTGATAATATGATGATCTTTTTAATAGGTAATATGTATGTACGTCTATAAATATTATTGAAACTTTGAGAGTTATCATAATTCTGATGAAATAGTAAATTTCTAGAGTCCTACTTACCTAAACTTTTGTTTGATAGAAAAAAAAAAACTTATACAATAGTGATTTTAGTTTGGAGTCCTTTTTTTTTTACATGAATCATAAGTTTGCAAATGTATTTTGTTGTTTGTAGATTTAGTTTCGTAATAAGATTTTTCAAAAAAAAAAATATGAAGGCGTTCGAGTTGTTCTTGTATAGAGAGCAACCTCATTGCTTTTTTTTCCATTAAAAAAGTTTTGTTCTTTTTTCTTCCTTCATTCTAAAAAAGAATTTAATCTATCAAAATAGATGAATCTTTCACAAAATAGTGCAATATTATAATAACCTCAGGTTATTTGTTTTTATATCAAAAATTATTTATAAGCATAAGCAATCTTACACTTTATTCGGTCACTTGATTCATTTAATATAACGGTGATTTTTTAAAATTGAAGGAGTAAAATCGTTATTAATGAATACTAATCATTGATCCACCGATAAACATATTATTTCATAACATATCTTACTTTAGCATAACATAGACATATCTTTAGTATTATCTTAAAAATTGTAGTTGATCAAACTCAAACCTTACAAATTGGTTTGTAAGGTAAGAATTATTCTCATTTATAAATATACGATCGAATCATACATTGTTCCTATGTAAAACTTATCTAAGAGAACTTGAACTTAGTCCCTTACACTATCAAGCATTCAAACTCTTGCCATTTAAATGATAACTCATATACCATGGCCCCTCACTTGACATGTCTCCTACTTTTCTTTCAAGTAATATTACCATTGAAGAGTTCTAAGAACAGAACATGTGCATTCAACCTAGTCCTGCAAGTCTCTATCATTATGAAAAATAATTCAAAAGATGCCATGATGTCAATGATGACACTCATTCAGTTCTAGAAATTGTAAATGCTAATAATGATTTTAATTGGATAAACAAACATGTTAACAATTTTTCTAGAGTAAGCACCTTTAAAACAAGCTTACATCAATTGTTTACCGACATATCATACACCACCATCCCAAAAATGGACACACATTTGACTTACAAATAGCATCTCCTCCTAAGTGGTAGTGCACTATATAGCCTTGATCCAAATTGAAGCATTAAAATTCTAGTTCTTTTGTCATAGCATTACGAGACAATGGACAACCCTACCATATTACACACCTATAAATTTACAATTCATGAGACATGGATTATGGATTATGGACCCTACCAAATAGATTTCCAGATTGGTATGAATTTTGGATGTCTCAATCTAATTGTGTGCACTATGGAGGATTCTGCTCGTGCTTGTCTAGTTTATTTACTATGATGCTAATGACATTCCAGTCAAAACCACGATATTGAAGCCATCGAATAATCCTTGACTTTCTTGTTTCCTTTGGAACGTTCTCACCTTTGAACCACTGCTTTGAGGCCTGAACATAAAGATGATCCATGGATTGCTTTGACATGTTAATAATTGATTTTTCTTCTCCATCACAATCCTTCTTGTCCTTAAAAACTACTTCAACTGCCTTTTCAGCATCAGATTGACTAACTCCCTTCTTGAACAGTGCCTGCCACAAGAGTTCAAGTCCATCACACAAAAAATTTGTTGATAATAATAGCAAGTGTGTTATGTATATGGCTCACAAACGCATGTGCGGTAATGAAAACAATGTCGCTGGCTTTGCAAGATGCTGTGACAATGTACTACATTTACTCATTATCTATGAAGTACTGGCATAGATACGGACACCGGACAAAAGTAAAACTAAAACTGAAAGTAATCACATGTGTCGGTGTCGTGTTGATACTACAGAGCTCTTAATACTACATACTATACAAGTTAAAAGGAAAATGTATTCATCAAAGCGCGCAGTGAAATCAAAATACTAACACAATATTTCCACTTTTGATTTGCTACAAAACTAATAAGAGGATGAACATACGGACGGAATATAGTGGCTTACTTGTTTGATCCGTCTTGGACCCCAAGTAGACGAAGACCATCTAGATTGAGAAAACGATTCAGCATACAACTTATCATTGATGAACCCTCTGAAACAAACAAAGGGGTAAAATGGTCACCAGAAACCCACAAGATGTATTAAGATTCAGAAAATTCAGATTTTATAGATGAACTTGAAAAAGTGCACTGTGAAAAATACAAACAATGTGATTATTTGTCAAACTGAATAGAAGGTTTGCCATTTGTATCTGTTATTGCAGACATCTTATTTTCAAGGCCAATAATCACGTGACGTACATATTCTCACTTAGTTCAATGAATGGAACATAATGAAAACTAAATTTACGAAAAAGCAAGTAGAACTTCAAATAACGATACGTTTGGAAATGGCTGATAAACAACTGCCAAATAATGTTTATATGAAGTTAGCTACATACTGTCTCTGGAGCTTGTTTATCACTGCCTCCACTGCATTAGGAGAGAATCTCTTGCTAAGCAATTTTTTTCTCAATTCAACTGCTGTGAGTGCCCTGCAGATTAAGGAGATAGACATGCTTAAAAGAAAAAACATCATTTTACGTTAAACTTACATGCATGGCCCTCTGTCCAACATGTAAAAGAAAGAAGAAAAAAAAATTCACCACCAGTATTTGGTCCACTGGTCCGACAAATCTGGTTCGGGGGAAGGTTCTGACCATAAGTGGCTCCAATTAGTTGACTCAAATTATTACAGAGTTTCTTCCCTTTCTTAATAACTTACAAGCAATAACAAACCCAGATAATTAAATGTTTGATAGTTATTACAGGTGAAAGAATTCAAAAGGCATGCCAAATAGTTACACTTTATTCAGCATTACTTCTGAGCTGAGATAATTTATTGGGCCTGAAAAGGGACGGTCCATGATAGAACATTTCAAACCAAGTGTAGTAATATTGGGTTAATATTGCACGAGTGCCTGAAGCGGGACTGGTCGCCCAAAGCGCATTCAGGTTGCCCGAAGCGCTTTCAGGTCGGCCGAAGTGCATCTAGGTTGCCGGAATTGGGATCCATGACCCGTTTCATTTATCACATGTGGCCTGCGAGGTTTCCGAGGAATAACGGTCAGGAAATATAAGTCAAAGGGAAAAGCCGTCTCCCCCAAGATTTGAGGAAGAATCAGTCTTCCTCTACTCCCACATTTTTTTATCGAAAAACTAGGAAACTGTTTCTCTGGCTTTCTAGCCCGGCCCAAGGAGTCTTCTACAAATACCCCAATCTCAGAATTGGAGAAGGATCATTCACTAATTCCACAGAAAAACACACAGAGTCTCTCGCAATTCCTACGGGGGCAAACTCTCTCTCAACTATTGTACTTTCAGCCGGTACAACTTCATTCTTTGACATAGTGATGTGAATCATGATAATGCTAAGTTGTAAACAACTTGAATCAAGTTGAAATTTAAGGAAAAAATATATTAGGTGCAAAAGTAACACGATATGCTTTATAAATGATGTTTTAGCATTGTGGATACATACTGTCAGTTTTCTTTGGATATCATAATGACAGCATTGAAAGAAGGGAAAGGTTCGACATTCTGAGTAAAATCAAAAGGCAAGTTACCCTGCCTATGTATGAAGCACAACGACAATTGAATGTTAGTGCTAAGAACAAGCAAATCGGCTAAGAGACAAGCAAAATTACATATTTAACATGAAAAAGTTTGACTTCTATTACACTAAATGAGGAAACATTATGCTTCAGACTCTCTTCAATTTGGTTGAACATGTAGTATAATAAACTAGAGTGGCATTGAATGCTTCAGAATCTCTTCAATTTAGGGAACTAACCTAGATGCAAGTAATTTGACAGCTGATTGTTCAACATCATTGGTAGATTTGTCAAGGCGTATAAAATCCTGTTCACAAGAGTCTCCTGTCTGAGGGATTGTCAATACCTCTTCCATTTGGTCAGAACCTATAATGCACAAATTAACATTATCCGAACTTTCAAGTTATGAACTACAATGACCATCAATTATAACAAAGCCTCTGAAGCACAAACAATCTTTCTTATTGTTTAATGGCAAGCTGCGTTGAATTTGAAAGATTGGGTCAACCTAAAGCATGCCAGTACTTTGTTACAATATAAGAGTAACATGTCGCCGTACTTTCAGTCACTAATCCAGCACCAAGCATCAAATTTAAATTATTGCTTAAACTCACTTTTTTTTCTTGTCTAGCTACCCCACGAATCGGTAGTAATGATGTAATTCCTCTCCATAGTGAAGCACAACTAAGCCAAAAATTATAAAATCGGTGTTTTAAAAACCAAACAAACAATTCAACCGGTTGAACCTTGACGCGGCCTTTATCGTGGTTTCATCTAGGTTCTAGCGTATTAAGCCGGTTGAACCATGACCCAGAAGTCTCACCGGTTTGATGTCTGATTCGGTTTTTAAAACATCGTACAAAATAGAATGATGACATATGCCAAGTTTGTATTAACTTTTGGGAGCTTTAAATCAGAATGAGTTTGTATTCTTAAGAAAAAATACTAATAAACTAAGTGTTTATGGAGAACTCAAATGTGAGAGCTTACGTAACTAGTTTACCTTCTTCAATATCATGAAATAGTAAGTCAGTATGAACTTCATCTGGATTTTGAGAAGTTTCACAATGTGCAATCGCATGCCCAATTTTCCCATCACTTATCTTGATTACACTGCCATCAGCAAAGCTACAATATTCCAAATAGCGAATCTTCACCCTGCATGATGTTATGGGAATGTACCTGACAGTAACAGAAGAAGAACTAAAGTCTCTACTCTTCAAACAAGCAATCCGAATCTTCCAAATGTTCCTAATTTCAATAACCCAAAAACAAAAGGGATAAGAATCATGGCCAAAAGCTTGAATCTTTTACAAGAATTCCCATCAACCCATTACAATTCAACCAATTGGGTAGCTAAATTAGAACTTCATTATTCATTTACATTGAGAAAAAAAATCAAACTTTTCTGTGATTTTGCTTCTCATACTAAATGGCAAACAAATGTGTAACAAAACTTTGGAGATAAATAGAATGATATAAACTAGTTACCGTGGAATTGGAAAAACGCGAGGTAGAAGATGATGATGACACGTGAATTTGAAGCCAATGTTTCCCGCGAAACTTGCCATTTTCATGTAATCAAAATTTGTGCCTTGCAAGTAGTATCAAGGGTTTCTTACTCTTTGTTCGTTTTCAATTTGCACCCTCTTGTATTTTTTTCTTCTCTCAAGAAAATCATAAAACATTGGCTAAGCCCATTTTGAGGCCCTATTCAAAGTTAAACTGACCCAAATTGGCACAGTTAAGTTAGATTGAGTAAACGACATTAAACATAAATTTACTGTTTTTTCCCCTTGAACATAAATAAAGAAAAATGAATAGTTACAAATGTTTGAAACATAAATAAAATTCTCGAAAATCAAGTGGGTGATTAGGGTGGACCTATTATTCATAACCATGATTTAATAAGGCATTAAAAGATTATAATTTTTCTATTTGTTTTAATTGAGAGGATAAATAAATTGTGAATTACATGACGAAGTGTACGATGATAATAAAATTCATATTGAAAGTGTTGAAAGATTGAAATACAGACAATCTAAAATATATCGCACAAATATATAAAATCTGGGCTACACATTTATCTTCTTTGAGAGACTTTTACACATAAAGACAACAATTCTTGAATTTGACTCAATGAAAAGTATGTGTATTGGACAACAGTCGAAGATTGTGATGTTGTTAGCGATAAATTTTGGACACATCTTAATTTAATGAAGCTTCTGAATATGTTTAATTTGGTATTAGTCATTGAGAGCACTTGCAAAACAAATAGGTACAAGTACACTACTTAAAATTGTGGTCTAATGTCGACAAAGTTGTAAATTTTGGTAGATTTTATTTATTTTAAATATGAACGTCAATCTAATTTTGGGTTTTAACTATCTAACTCTGAAACATTAGCAATTGCAGTTTGAAAAGTTAAAATTTATTCTTTCAATGAGAGCATAATAAATATTGTATGCATAAAGTTGGTAATTCCTTAGTTATCCCTCGTTAACATTTTCCACAACCAATGTTATGGGTTCCTATCTGCAACCCATTTATTTTGAAGCAAAACACTAATATTTCAACAACCCTATTATTTTAATCGATGAAGAAATACCCCCACCAGAATCGTCTGATGGAACCTCAATCCCGACATCTCCTCTCACGCATCCAACAATGTATGGTGAATCAATGGTCACCATAATTAATGCAATGCTCAACACCGACCATTTTTCTTATTTTGCTTGGCATTTCTTTCATCTGCGACGTCATGACGGCAACAACCCTGAATTTTGGTTAAGTATGTTATCGCCTACTTCTTTTCAGATGATGGACTGGACACCCAGCCAAGCTTCTTGTTGGCCATGGGTTCCATGGAACATTAGTAACAAAAACTGATCTGGATTGGGCTTACACTTGCCCTTCGAATGGGAAGCTCAAAAACAGAGCCCAAGTTAGGAACCGTTGGGCAACTTCCCACACGACCAAGAGGACATGGCCCACGACCCCACGACAGTCATCTTAAATTGCTCTCCGAGAATCACGGGTCCAACCCTATTCTCGCAGAGCAGTTGACCAGGGGGGGAGTCCACTTGCTGGACTCCATACACACGTAAGCCCTAGCAGTTTATGTTATTGGGCCTCAAAATGGCCCAATAATGGGGACCTTGGCCCAGCGCTGGGGGCTATAAATACCCTCTCTCCTAAAAGGGTCAGGTATTCAACACTTTCTAACTCTTACACTTGTTTGCTCATTCCGCAACTTACTTTGTCATCAGAGTGTCTTGCAGGTACCCCCCCCCCCCCCCATCTCATCCAACTTATGCCCGAGTTAGCTGTGACGGTCCATTCTGATTCAGTAAGATCAATGGCGCCGTTTGTGGGAAACTTGCTTCCCCGTCTTCCATTTACTCTAGACCAAAGTTAAACAATCCCCGACTGTCATGGCTGACCAGACTGCAGAAAACATGAACGTTTGTATCATCGACGTCAATAATAACATCGCTGACAATAATATCAGCCTCGACAATGCCAGTACCCCCGGCCACAACACAACCCCCGCCATTAATATGCTCGGGCCTTCTGACTATAGAGATAGAGCAACTGCTTCATCATCATCACTGCCTCCACGACTCGAAGACGATCGGCCACCTCCCCTGAACTACCAACCCATTCAGTTCCATGAGGTCCCCGTTCCTACCGGAGAAGACGCCACGACCAGGGCACTGTTTGCGGCGATAAATCAGACCAACTACCTGATCTTCGCTAAAGGAGAAAGGTTGAGGGCGCTCGAAGATGCTCGGAGAGCGCCCATAAGACACAGGAGACCTCAGTCTCCTCTTCCTCGACAAGCAGAGAAACGTCCCCAATCTCCGCCGCAAAGACGTAGCTGGGACATCTCCCGAAGCCCTTCTCCCCAACCAATCGGGCGATGCCCCGCATTAGAAAGGGACCATCCTGTTGACACAGGGAGACGCGATCACGGCCCCTCGCGTCAAGAACGAAGACCCCTTGGAGACAGAAACAGGGGAAACAACGAGCGACCATACCGCCCGAGGAACGCTCCGCACGACCAGGGCCACCATAACCGCCACTACATCAGATCCCCGTCTCGCTCGCCCGAACAGAGTGACGAGGATGACCCACGTGGTCCCTTGTCACAAGCCATCATGGAGGAACCCATTCCTCCGGGCATGGAGAAGCCTCCCCACCTAAATGAATACGACGGCATCACCGACTCGGTCGACCATATAGACGGGTTTGAGGCCATGCTACATTGTCACAATATCGGGGGACCAATCAAATGCCGGTTATTCCCCACGACTCTGAGGAAAGTTACAATGGACTGGTACAAAAGTCTCGCCTCGGGGTCAATTATCTCCTGGCGAAATCTAAAGAACCAATTCATCAGTTCATTCATTGCCTCGCGACACCACCCAAAGACCGAAGCAGCCCTCGAGGCCATCGTCCAGAGATACGATGAGAACCTGGGGGAATTTATTGATCGGTTAAACTGGAAGGCTGTAACACCCCAATTCTACCCCAAGCAATTTACAGAAAATCAGAGTAAAAATTTCTAAAATAATCAGGATGCTACACATTCAACAGAGACACATAAACCTGTCATGCTTTTAGAATAGATACATAACACTTAAAGAAAACGGAATGAACACGACTCATGAATAAAGTCTTCATAACATAAACCAACTTTGATTAATCACACAATAGATTCATAATAATTCTCCACAAGAGACATAACATCTTTTGAATCATAAAACAACATCAATACGATAATTCCTCAAATAACAACATAAAGTTCGATAAGTAAACAAAAAAATAAAACAAGCGTTCACTTCCCCCCGAGTGCTACATATCAGAGCAAATGACACCAAACTCGAACTAACAACGCTAACGGCTACTCCTCTTGGTTACCTACACGTTACCAACAAAGGGTAGCATTCAAACATAAGGGTTGAGATATCGAATAATATAATAGAACATATGATAAATAATATATCAAACCCAGTTTATGTAAAATCACCACTTCATACCAAATCAACATGAAAAAATACCATTCACCAACACCTCAATTCAACTTATAACATTACTGTGCGTAAACAACACTTTAAATAAGCAACAATCAACGACTTCAAATGCGACTCAATTATGCAAATGCATGTGGTACCATCGGAGCAGAACTCTCAACTTAGAAAATTCCAGTTTACTGAGGCATAAGGCAAAAGCCCTCAACATAAAATCTTGCCAATAAAGGCCAACGTGGTGAGCATTCGCTCTAACTTAGAACATGCCAATCCAGGTCAACTTTAATGTTATGCTATGCTATGCGATGATATAAACAACCACAACTTGGCAACGCAACAACGACAATAACATAATAAAGGTCGACATAACAACAATTCACACCTTCAACATTGTCCAAAGGCCTATATCACAGTCATTACCAATTAATCAAGGTAAATCACAACATTTACTTACCACGGAGATATAAAAACAAAATGACATTTCGGTCAATTCACAAAATACATCAATATACCAACATACCGAATTAATCGACTCGTTTCCAATTATTTGCCAACTTAATCAATTAATCCCACTGCTAAATTATTTTCATCACTAATAAAATACTAATTCAGCCATTTAAAATATATATAGCCCACTGTTAATTGTTCTCCCTAAATTACTAATTTACTAGACAACCTATGGATGTGCCATTCTTCCACATAAAACTAGCTTCTAGCAACTAAATTTAATTTACTGCTACTAGAAACAGTGACATTCATATATACTGTTACTAGTAAATACTGATATTATTTAAGAATTATGCAGCATAGTGCCATAGAAAAACGAAACAGAGAAAACAGAGAAGCAAGTGCCCCTGCCTCACAGTGCCAAAGTGGCACTTTTTCTCCAACCCTTGCCTAGTGCCGATCGACACTTCCCTCTTTCATCTAAAGGCTGCCGAACGGAAGCCCCCCACCACCATCACATACAATCAGTGTCGAACGACACTTCCACCTATTTCTTCCTCTCATCTTCGATACTATTTCATGGAATTTTCCTGCTATACTGTCTTGTGATACCAATTCCATTCCAGAGACAAGTTATAACACAACAACACACTTATTCTTTGACAATTCTATAATCAAATCAATTATTATCACAACAACACAAGCCAACACAAGTCAATAAAACAGTAACAATTTCACATAAAAATCCCCACATACAAAATATCATACACCCCATTATAGGATAAGAAACCCCACCCTTACCTGGTTGATTTTGAAGGCACACAAGGAAGCTTCAATGGAATTTCTGAAATTGGCTCTAGCAGCAACTTTCTCGTTCTTCTCCTCTTCTCACAAAACCCTATTCTCTTTTCTCTTCTTATTTTTCCTGATAACACTACTTTCTCTCTTTTCTTCTATTTTCTATTAAAATACTATTATTTAATCCTTAGTAATTTAAATGGGCCTAACCAATACACCCCCTTACTACTTCGCGACATCATACTTAAGCCCAACATCAATTCTAAGCTTATTAGTAAAATGCCACTTCAACTTATTTA